GGGTCTCTATGGGTTCTCTATGGGGCTCTATGGGGTCTCTATGGGGTCTATGGGGTTGCTATGGGTCTCTATGGGTCTCTATGGGGTCTCTATGGGGTCTCTATGGGTCTCTATGGGTCTCTATGGGTCTCTATGGGGTCTATGGGGTCTATGGGTCTCTATGGGGTCTCTATGGGTCTCTATCTATGGGTCTCTATGGGTCTCTATGGGTCTCTATGTGTCTCTATGGGTCCCTATGGGTCTCTATGGGTCCCTATGTGTCTCTATGGGTCTCTATGGGTCTCTATGGGTCTCTATGGGTCTCTATGGGTCACTATGTGTCTCTATGGGGTCTCTATGGGGTCTATGGGGTCTCTATGGGGTCTCTATGGGTCTCTATGGGTCTCTATGTGTCTCTATGGGTCTCTATGGGTCGCTATGGGTCTCTATGGGTCTCTATGGGGTCTCTATGTGTCTCTATGTGTCTCTATGGGTCGCTATGGGGCGCCCGCACCGGTAGAGGCCGAGGTCCGTGAACCAATCCTGCACGAGCAGCACCACGTGGCAGACGGTGAAGAGGAAGGCGGCGATCTGCAGAGACTGCCCCACACGTGTGGGTCAGCACCCACCCACCCCATAGCACCCATTGACACCCATTGACCCCCATTGACACCCATTGGCACCCATTGACACCCATTGATACCCATTGGCACCCATTGGCACCCATTGACACCCATTGATACCCATTGGCACCCATTGGCACCCATTGACACCCATTGACACCCATTGATGCCCATTGACCTCCATTGGCACCCATTGACACCCATTGGCACCCATGGACACCCATTGACCCCCACTGGCACCCATTGAACCCCATTGGCACCCATTGACACCCATTGGCACCCATTGACCCCCATTGGCTCCCATTGACATCCACTGGCACCCATTGACACCCATTGACCCCCATTGGCTCCCATTGACTCCATTGACACCCATTGACACCCATTGACACCCTTTGGCACCCATTGGCTCCCATTGGCACCCATTGGCTCCCATTGATACCCATTGACTCCATTGACATGCATTGACACCCATTGGCACCCATTGACACCCATTAGCACCCATTGGCACCCATTGACCCCCATTGGCACCCATTGACACCCACTGACGCCCATTGACCCCCATTGGCACCCATTGACCCCCATTGACACCCATTGGCACCCATTGACCCCCACTGACACCCATTGGCACCCATTGACCCGCACTGACACCCATTGACTCCATTGGCACCCATTGACCTCCATTGGCACCCATTGACCCGCACTGACACCCATTGACACCCATTGGCACCCATTGACACCCATTGATACCCATTGGCACCCATTGACACCCATTGATACCCATTGGCACCCATTGACACCCATTGATACCCATTGGCACCCATTGGCTCCCATTGGCTCCCATTGACTCCATTGACACCCATTGAGACCCATTGATGATCATTGACCCCATTGACTCCATTGACACCCATTGGCTCCATTGACACCCATGGGCACCCATTGACTCGCACTGGCACCCATTGACACCCATTGGCTCCCACTGACACCCATTGGCACCCATTGACACCCATTGACCCCCATTGACACCCACTGGCTCCCATTGACTCCATTGACACCCATTGACACCCACTGGCACCCATTGGCACCCATTGACACCCATTGGCACCCATTGACACCCATTGGCCCCCATTGACTCCCATTGACCCCCACTGACCCCCACTGACACCCATTGATCCCCATTGACACCCATTGACCCCCCAATTAGCCCCTAATTAATCCCCTCCAATCAATTAATGCCAATTAATGACCTCCCAATCAACCCCTATGTGCCCCTTATTACCCTTAATCAACCACCGCTAATTAATTACTAATTAATCGCTATTATTAATAGCAATAAATTACTAATTAATAGCTATTATTAATGACTAATAACCATTAATTAATCACCACATCATTAATTATTTCCTATTTCCCTCATTAATAACTTCTAATTCCACCCCCCCCAGCCCTCTTGCAGCTCTTCCCCCCCTCAATTAGGGCTAATGAGCGCTAATTAACGGCTAATTAACGGCTAATTAATGGCTAATGAGCCTCGTTAATGGCAGACCTGCATCTCGACGTAGGTGTGGGGCAGCCCATACTCGGGGGGCAGCTTCCGGTCGTTATTAATGAGGTGATCGAGGAGGGCGGGGCTGAGCAGGGGCTGGAATTAAGGAGCTTCATTAGCGCTAATGAGGGCTATTAATGAGCTTCATTAGCATTAATTAGGGCTATTCACGAGCGTAAATAGCGCTAAGGATGGGTTATTAGGGTTATTAATGAGCTTAGTTAGCGTTAAGGAGAGGGTATTAGGGCTATTAATGAGCAAAATTAGCATTAATGAGAGATTCCTAGATCTATTAATAAGCTTAATTAGCGCTAATGAGGTTATTAGTGCTATTAATGAGCTTAATTTGCGCTATTGAGGGATTATTAGGGCTATTAATGAGCTCATTAGGGGTAATGAGGGGTTATTAGGGCTATCAATGAGCTCATTGGGGTAATGAAGGATTACTAGGGCTATTAATAAGCTCATTAGGGCTAATTACCGCTATTAATGAGCCCATTGTGGTTAATTATTGCTATTAATGAGTCCATTGGCCTTAATGGCCTCACTAGCTCTAATTAACGCTAGTAATGACCTCATTAACGCTATTAATGACCTCATTAGCGCTAATAAACGCTATTAATGACCTCCTTAGGGGTAATTAATGCTATCAATGACCTCATTAGGAGTAATTAATGCTATTAATGACCTCATTAGCGCTATTAATGACCTCATTAGGGGTAATTAATGCTATTAATGACCTCCTTAGGGGTAATTAATGCTATCAATGACCTCCTTAGGAATAATTAATGCTATTAATGACCTCATTAGCGCTATTAATGAGCTCATTAGGGATAATTAATGCTATTAATGACCTCCTTAGGGGTAATTAATGCTATCAATGACCTCATTAGGAGTAATTAATGCTATTAATGACCTCATTAGCGGTATTACTGATCTCATTAGCGCTAAGAAATGCTATTAGTGACCTCATTACAGGTAATTAATGCTATTAATGACCTCATTAGCGGTAATAAACGCTATTAATGACCTCCTTAGGGGTAATTAATGACCTCATTAGCGCTATTAATGACCTCATTAGCGCTATTAATGACCTCATTAGGGGTAATTAATGCTATTAATGACCTCATTAGCGCTATTAATGACCTCATTAGGGGTAATTAATGCTATTAATGACCTCATTAGGAGTAATTAGTGCTATTAATGAGCTCATTAGCGCTATTACTGATCTCATTAGCGCTAAGAAATGCTATTAGTGACCTCATTACAGGTAATTAATGCTATCAATGACCTCATTAGCAGTAATAAACGCTATTAATGACCCCCTTAGGGGTCATTAATGCTATTAATGACCTCATTAGCGCTATTAATGACCTCATTAGGGGTAATTAATGGCATTAATGACCTCATTAGCGCTATTAATGACCTCATTAGGGGTAATTAATGCTATCAATGACCTCATTAGGGGTAATTAATGCTATTAATTACCTCATTAACGCTATTAATAACCTCCTTAGGGGTAATTAATGCTATTAAGGACCTCATTAGGGGTAATTAATGCTATTAATGAGCTCATTAGCACTATTAATGAGCTCATTAGGGGTAATTAATGCTATTAATGACCTCATTAGGAGTAATTAATGCTATTAATGACCTCATTAGCGCTATTAATGACCTCATTGGGGTAATTAATGCTATTAATGACCTCATTAGGGGTAATTAATGCTATTAATGACTTCATTAGCGCTATTAATGACCTCATTGGGGTAATTAATGATATTAATGACCTCCTTAGGGGTAAGTAATGCTATCAATGACCTCATTAGGGGTAATTAATGCTATTAATGACCTCATTAGCGCTATTAATGACCTCATTAGGGGTAATTAATGCTATTAATGACCTCATTAGCACTATTAATGACCTCATTAGTGCTATTAATGAGCCCCATAGTAACACTGACCTCATTAGGGGTAATTAATGTTATTAATGACCCCATAGAGCCCCATTATGACACAGCCCAGACCCATAGAGCCCCATTAAGACACAGCCTGGAGCCCATAATGACCTCCATAGAGCCCCATAGACGCGCGCCGGGGGTACCTGGGTGTCGAGGAAGACCACGCGCTCCTGGGTGATGAAGAAGTCGATGCCCCATAGAGCTCCCCCCCCGCTCCCGCACACAGCCCTGGGGCCCATACAGCCCCATAGAGCCCCATAGACACAGCCCGGACCCATAGAGCCCCATAGAGCCCCATAGACACAGCCCAGACCCATAGAGCCCCATAGAGCCCCATAGACACAGCCCGGACCCATAGAGCCCCATAGAGCCCCATAGACACAGCCCGGACCCATAGAGCCCCATAGACACAGCCTGGACCCATAGAGCCCCATAGAGCCCCATAGACACAGCCTGGACCCATAGAGCCCCATAGACACCACCTGGACCCATAGAGCCCCATAGACACAGCCCGGACCCATAGAGCCCCATAGACACAGCCCAGCCCCATAGAGCCCCATAGACACAGCCTGGACCCATAGAGCCCCATAGAGCCCCATACACACAGCCTGGAACCATAGACCCTCCATAGCTGCCCCACAGTGCCCCATAGCACCCTATAGCCCGCCATAGAGACCCCATAGCTCCCCATAGAGACCTATAGCCCCCCATAGAGCTACATAGCCCCCCATAGACACCCCATAGAGCTCCATAGTGCCCCATAGCTACCCCATAGCCCCCCATAGACACCCCATAGCCCCCCGCAGACACCCCATAGCCCCCCATACACACCCCATATAGCTCCATAGTGCCCCATAGCTACTCCATAGACACCCCATAGCCCCCGACAGACACCCCATAGAGCTCCATAGCCCCCCATAGACACCCCATAGCCCCCCATAGACACCCCATAGACCCCCATAGCCCCCCATAGCCACCCCATAGCCCCCCATAGACACACCCCATAGCCCCCCATAGACACCCCATAGCCCCCCATAGCCCCCCATAGCCGCCCCGCCCCATAGCCCCCCATAGCCGCCCCATAACAACCCATAGCCGCCCCATATCTACCCCATAGCCCCCCATAGCTACCCCATAGCCCTACCCGCCCCATACCCGCCCCATACCCGCCCCACAGCCGCCCCATACCCGCCCCATACCCGCCCCATACCCGACCCATACCCGCCCCATACCCGCCCCATAGCTGCCCCATACCCGCCCCATAGCCCCCCCATACCCGCCCCATAGCCCCCCCATACCCGCCCCATACCCGCCCCATAGCCACCCCATAGCCGCCCCATAGCCGCCCCATAGCCGCCCCATACCCGCCCCATAGCCGCCCCATAGCCGCCCCATAGCCGCCCCATAGCCGCCCCATAGCCGCCCCATAGCACCCCATAGCCGCCCCATAGCCACCCCATATCCACCCCATAGCCGCCCCATAGCCGCCCCATAGACACCCCATAACCACCCCATACCCACCCCATAGATGCCCATTCACCCCATAACCACCCCATAGCCACCCCATAGCCACCCCATAGCACCCCATAGCCGCCCCATAGCCACCCCATAGCCGCCCCATAGCACCCCATTACCCCCCTCCCCAGCCCCATAGCGCCCCATAGCCACCCCATAGCCCCCCATAGCCCCCCATAGCCCCCATAGCCCCCCATAGCCCCATAGCCACCCCATAGCCACCCCATAGCCCCCCATAGCCACCCCATAGCCGCCCCATAGCCGCCCCATAACCACCCCATACCCTGCCCCATAGCCGCCCCATAGCCGCCCCATAGCTGCCCCATAGCCCCCCCATACCCGCCCCATAGCCACCCCATAGCCACCCCATAGCCCCCCCATACCCGCCCCATAGCCGCCCCATAGCCCCCCATAGCCCCCCCATAGCCGCCCCATACCCGCCCCATAGCCCCCCCATAGCCGCCCCATAGCCCCTCCATAGCTACCCTATTGCCGCCCCATACCCGCCCCATAGCCCCCCCATAGCCATACCCGCCCCATACCCCCCCATAGCATAGCCCCCCATAGCCCCATAGCCCCCCCATACCGCCCCATAGCCATACCCCATAGCCGCCCCATAGCTACCCCATAGCCACCCCATAGCCCCCCCATACCCGCCCCATAGCCCCCCCATAGCTACCCCATTGTTGCTCCATACCCGCCCCATAGCGCCCCCCATTGCCACCCCATAGCCCCCCCATAGCCGCCCCATAGCCTGCCCTATAGCCGCCCCATAGCCGCCCCATAGCCACCCCATAGAGCTCCATAGCCCCCCATAGCCACCCCATACCCGCCCCATAGCTACCCCATAGCCGCCCCATAGCCCCCCCATACCCGCCCCATAGCTCCCCCATACCCGCCCCATAGCCCCACCATACCCCCCCATAGCTCCCCCATAGCCGCCCCATAGCCCCTCCATACCCGCCCCATACCCAGCCCATAGCCACCCCATAGAGCTCCATAGCCGCCCCATAGCCGCCCCATAGCCGCCCCATAGCTGCCCCCCATACCCGCCCCATAGCCGCCCCATAGCTGCCCCATACCGTGGGTCCTCATCGGGCTGATTGGCCGCCAGCAGCGAGAGCAGCGTGGACTTCCCGGTGCCCTGCAGCCCCAGCGCCCCCACCACCAGCACGTCCGTCTGCTCCAGCAGGAACTGAGCCAATCACAGGGCGGCACCGCACTAAGCCACGCCCCCCTCGGGCCGTAAACCACGCCCCCAATCGGATCCAAGCCACGCCCCCCCCCACCCCGGGCTGAGCCATCCCCATCATAGGGCTGAAACCACGCCCCCTAGCGGCATAAGCCACGCCCCATTTAAGCCACGCCCCATTTAAGCCACGCCCCCTTTAAGCCACGCCCATTCACTCCAAACCCCGCCCATTCACTTCAACCCCCGCCCATTCACTCCAAGACCCGACCCCTTAAGCCCCGCCTCCATTGCGCTAAGCTCCGCCCATCAATATAAGCCACGCCCCATTAAGCCACGCCCATTCACTCCAAGCCCCGCCCATTCACTTCACCCCCCCATTCGCTCCAAGCCCCGCCTCCATTGCGCTAAGCCCCACCCATCTAGTCTAAGCCACGCCCCCTCGGGCCATAAACCACGCCCCCCAATCGGAACCAAGCCACGCCCCCTGTGGGGCTGAGCCATCCCCATCATAGGGCTGAAACCGCACCCAATAGGGGCCTAAGACACGCCCCCTTTAAGCCACGCCCCCTTTAAGCCACGCCCATTCACATTAAGCCCCGCCCATTCACCTCAAGCCCCGCCCATTCACTTCAACCCCCGCCCATTCGCTCCAAGACCCGACCCTTTAAGCCCCGCCTCCATTGCGCTAAGCTCCGCCCATCAATATAAGCCACGCCCCCATTAAGCCACGCCCATTCACTCTAGAGTCCTGCCCATTCACTCCAAGACCCGACCCTTTAAGCCCCGCCTCCATTGCGCTAAGCTCCGCCCATCTAATGTAAGCCATGCCCCCTCGCGACACAAACCACGCCCCTTTAAGCCCCGCCCATTCACCTCAATTCCCGCCCATTCACTCCAAGACTCGACCCTTTAAGCCCCGCCTCCATTGCGTTAAGCTCCGCCCATCGAGTCTAAGCCACTCCCCCTCGGGCCATAAACCACGCCCCCCATCGGATCAAAGCCACGCCCCCCCCCCCCGGGCTGAGCCATCCCCATCATAGGGCTGAAACCACGCCCCCTAGCGGCCTAAGCCACGCCCCATTTAAGCCACGCCCCTTCAATCCAAGCCACGCCCATTCGCTCTAAGTCCCGCCCATTCACTTCAACCCCCCCATTCGCTCCAAGACCTGACCCTTTAAGCCCCGCCTCCATTGCGCCAAGCTCCGCCCATCAATATAAGCCCCGCCCCCGTTAAGCCACGCCCATTCACTCCAAGCCCCGCCCATTCACTTCAACCCCCGCCCATTCGCTCCAAGCCCCGCCTCCATTGCTCTAAGCTCCGCCCATCTAGTCTAAGCCACTCCCCCTCGGGCCATAAACCACGCCCCCCATCGGACCCAAGCCACGCCCCCCCCCCCCATCGGGCTGAGCCATCCCCATCATAGGGCTGAAACCACGCCCCCTAGCGGCCTAAGCCACGCCCCCTCTAAGCCACGCCCATTCACATCAAGCCCCGCCCATTCACTTTAACCCCTGCCCATTCGCTCCAAGACCCGACCCTTTAAGCCCCGCCTCCATTGCGCTAAGCTCCGCCCATGAATATAAGCCACGCCCATTCACTTCAACCCCTGCCCATTCGCTCCAAGACCCGACCCTTTAAGCCCCGCCTCCATTGCGTTAAGCTCCGCCCATCTAATGTAAGCCACGCCCCCTCGCGCCACAAACCACGCCCCCTTTAAGCCCCGCCCATTCACTTCAACCCCTGCCCATTCACTCCAAGACCCGACCCTTTAAGCCCCGCCTCCATTGTGCTAAGCTCCGCCCATCTAGTCTAAGCCACGCCCCCTCGGGCCATAAACCACGCCCCCCATCGGTTCCACGCCACGCCCCCCCCCCCCCCCCCCCGGGCTGAGCCATCCCCATCATAGGGCTGAAACCACGCCCCCTAGCGACATAAGCCACGCCCCATTTAAGCCACGCCCATTCACATTAAGCCCCGCCCATTCGCTTTAAGTCCCGCCCATTCACTTTAACCCCTGCCCATTCACTCCAAGACTCGACCCTTTAAGCCCCGCCTCCATTGCGCTAAGCTCCGCCCATCAATATAAGCCACGCCCCCATTAACCCACGCCCATTCACTTCAACCCCTGCCCATTCACTCCAAGACCCGACCCTTTAAGCCCCGCCTCCATTGCGCTAAGCTCCGCCCATCTAGTCTAAGCCACGCCCCCTCGTGCCACAAACCACGCCCCCCTTCAAGCCACGCCCATTCACTTCAAACCCCGCCCCCATTGCGCTAAGCTCCGCCCATCTAGTCTAAGCCACGCCCCCTCGGGCCGTAAACCACGCCCCCCCTTTGGAACCAAGCCACGCCCCCCCGAATACGCCCAGCCCATTCACTCCAAGCACCGCCCCTTACCCTAAACCCCGCCCCCTTCCCCCCTTTAAACCCCTCTCCCTTAATCCCGCCCCCTTCCCATAGACCACGCCCCCTTCCCAAGCTCCTCCCCCTCTACCCTAAGCCCCGCCCCTTCCCCCCCTTTAAACCCCTCTCCCTTCCCCCACCCCAAACCCCGCCCCCTTTCCCTTAACCCCACCCCCTTTCCCTTAACCCCGCCCCCTTCCCGTAGGCCCCGCCCCCCCCTAAGCCCCGCCCCCCACCTCTAGGGCGCTGTCGCACCAGTTCATCTGCTCGTCCACCAGTTTGATGCTGCTCTTCATCTTCTCGGGCGCCGCCAGCCGGGATTGGCCGGCCACGGCTGCGAGGGGCGGGGCCAAGCTTGGACACGCCCCCTTCCGTAAATGGAGCCTCACAACCCCTTAGCCCCGCCCGCTTCCCCCATATATGGACACCCCCTAGCCCCGCCACTTAACCTTATGCCATATATGGGCACCCCCTAGCCCCGCCTCTTAACCTTACGCCATATATGGGCACGCTTAGCCACGCCCCTTTCCCCCTATCCCATATATGGACACCCCCTAGTCCCACCCCTTAGCCTTACCCCATATATGGGCACGCTTAGCCCCGCCCCCTTCCCCCATATATGGACACCCCCTAGCCCCACCACTTACCCTTATGCCATATATGGGCACGCTTAGCCACGCCCCCTTTTCCTTATCCCATATATGGACACCCCCTAGCCCCACCTCTTAGCCTTATGCCGTATATGGGCACGCTTAGCCCCACCCCTTTCTCCTTCCCCCATATATGGACACCCCCTAGCCCCGCCACTTACCCTTATGCCATATATGGGCACCCCCTAGAACCGCCCCTTAAGCTTTGCCCCATATATGGGCACGCTTAGCCCCGCCCCCTTTCCCTTATCCCATATATGGACCCCCCCAGCCCCGCCCCTTAGCCTTATGCCATATATGGGCACGCTTAGCCCCGCCCCCTTCCCCGTATTCCATATATGGACGCCCCCTAGCCCCGCCTCTTAACCTTACGCCATATATGGGCACGCTTAGCCCCGCCCCCTTACCCTTATCCCATATATGGACACCCCCTAGCCCCACCCCTTAAGCTTTACCCCATATATGGGCACACTTAGCCCTGCCCCCTTCCCCTTATCCCATATATGGACACCACTTTAGCCCCGCCCCTCTCAGCCACGCCCACTCTCCTTTACCCACTCCATATATGGACACCCCTTAGCCCATCCCACACCGCCATAGCCCCGCCCCTTCCATTTACCCACCCCATATATGGGCACCCTTAGCCCCGCCCCTTCTCTTACCCCCTGCCCCATATATGGACACCCCATAGCCCAGGATAAGCCCCCTTTAGCCCCTCCCCTTCCCATATAAGGTCCCTTTAGCCCCTCCCTATGCCCATATAAGGCCCCTTTAGCCCCTCCCCTTCCCATACAACCCTTTAGCCCCTCCCTATTCCCATATAAGGTCCCTTTAGCCCCTCCCCTTGCCCATATAAACCCCCTTTAGCCCCTCCCCTGCCCATATAAGCCCCATTAAGCCCCGCCCCTTTCCATATAAGCCCTATTAAGCCCCTCCCTATGCCCATATAAGGCCCCATTAGCCCCTCCCCTTCCCCTATAACCCCCTTTATCCCCTCCCCATGCCCATATAAGGCCCCTTTAGCCCCGCCCCATACCTATATAAGGCTCCTTTATCCCCTCCCCATGCCCATATAAGGCCCCTTAAGCCCCTCCCCATGCCCATATAAGGTCCCTTTAGCCCCTCCCCTTCCCATAGAAACCCCCTTTAGCCCCTCCCCTGCCCATATAAGGCAATTTAAGCCCCTCCTCAGGCCCATATAAGGCAATTTAAGCCCCTCCCTATGCCCATATAAGGTCCCTTTAGCCCCACCCCCTGCCCATATAAGGCAATTTAAGCCCCGCCCCCATGCCCATATAAGGCACCACTCACGGTCCAGGTTGCCGGGCGGGGCCAGCCCCCTGCCATGCAATTGGTAGACGGGCTGCGTGGGGCGGGGCCCGGGGTCGCGCTCGCGGGGCGGGGCCTGCGCTGGCCCCTCCCCCCCGCCGGCGTTGGCCCCGCCCCCTCCGCGCTCCTCCCCTCCCCCGCCCCGCGCTTTCATCAGCAAAATGGGCGGGGCCGGGGGGGGAGGGGCCGGGCCGGGCCCCGCCTTCGGCTGCGGCTGTGGGGGAGGGGAGGGGGGGGTGGGGTCAGTGGGGGGGGGCTATGGGGGGGCTATGGGGGGCTATGGGGGTCTATGGGGGTCTATGGGGGTTTTTGGGGGTCTATAGAGGGCTATGGGGTGATATGGGGGTCTATGGGGGTCATTGGGGGGCCTATGGGAGGGCTATGGTGGGGCTATGGGGGTCTATGGGGGGGCTATGGGGCACTATGGGGGTTTATGGGGGTCTATAGGGGGCTATGGGGCGCTATGGGGGCCTATGGGGGGGCTATGGGGGGGCTATGGGGGTCAATGGGGGGTGGATGGGGGGCTATGGGGGGGCTATGGGGGTCTATGGGGGGCTATGGGGGGTCTATGGTGGGGCTATGGTGGGCTATGGGGCGCTATTGGGGTCTATGGGGGGCTGTGGGGGGCTATGGGGGTCTATGGGGGGCTTTGGGGGGCTATGGGGCTATGGGGGTCTATGGGGGTCATTGGGGGGCCTATGGGGGGGCTATGGAGCTATGGGGATCTATAGGGCTCTATGGGGGGCTATGGGGGTCTATGGGGCGCTATGGGGGTTTATGGGGGTCTATAGAGGGCTATGGGGTGATATGGGGGTCTATGGGGGGCCTATGGTGGGGCTATGGGAGTCTATGGGGGTCAATAGGGGGCTATGGGGCTCTATGGGGGTCTATGGGGGTCTATGGGGGCCTATGGGGATTTATGGGGGTCTATGGAGGTCTATGGGGGGCTATGGGGGGCTATGGGGGGTTATGGGGGGTTATTGGGGCTATGGGGGCTATGGGGGTCTATGGGGGGCTATGGGGGGCAATGGGGTCTATGGGGGGCTATGGGGAGCTATGGGGGTCTATGGGGTTTTATCGGGG